AAGGGTCTAGGCCCGAAACGTCAGCTTTCTTGCTCTTCTGATGCTGCTTGGCCTGCTGTGTTCATCCAGCTCTACACCTTGTTATCTCAGATTCTCCAGCATCTGCAGTTCCTACTATCTCTCAGCACTATGGATTTGTGTTGGGAGACGTAGTTTGGTTTTGCCAGTCATTATCTGGGTATCCATATATCTTTCATGTGGACATGCTTGCTGTATTTACAGGCCTCTTGTTGTCTACACCCAAATTTTGGTTATGATAATATTTAAGAAGTTGCCTGAGATGTTTGAGATTCTTTTTACTGGTTCCTTTTGTTAATTTATGCCTTCTAATAGTTGATTCTGATTTAAGAGCTGTTCAGATTTTGAAAGTGCATGCTGACCCTTCAAATACTTGCACAATCCTTCATCCTCCCCATATATTTCCTGGGCCTACAGGTACAAGAAGCTGATTGAAGATGGGACATGTACCTTTGTCTGTCCCAGCAATATTTTAATAACTGACATCAAGATTTCCAATAAGGGGTGGGACGAGACAACTAACTGTGTGGAAATCTCACTTGACCACACATATATAAAGTAGCAATTTGGGCCAAATGTACAAAAGCCAGTTCTGAAGAATAAAAAGGAAATTGAGGAAGGGACTGCTTAGTGTTGCTGTTAAATGAAAATGCATTTCAGCATGTGGCAGTCAGGGCTAAGAGGTCTTTTCTATAAGCTGTGATTTCTGCAGAACAATGAAGTGGATTTTCTATTTCTGTATACAAGTGAAGGATGATGATGGAATTAATCCCTTTACTGGTCAATTACTTTAGTTCTGGGCATTTGTGGCACTGCGACTGAGGTGTACTTCCAAATGTTTTTTCAGGTAAACAATTAAATTAACTAGAATATCAATTTTGCAGGTGAACTGTCCATAAGCATTTGAATCCACTTATTTTCAAGATTTTTGCTGGTTGGATTTAGTGCTTGAATGTTTGTATTTAATCTGTAGACATGGACAATACAATTAGCAAGGTACAGGTATCACCAATTCCTTGTTTCACTGATTTGGAGCAAGTGGGGAATGGTGAGGTGGGGTTGGAGAATTAGAACTGAAAGAGTACATAGAATCCCTACAGTGGGGAAGCGGGCCATTCGGCCCATCAAGTCCACACCAACCCTTAAAAGGCCCAACCCCCTACCCTGTCAGCCCGTATTTCCCATGGCTAATCCACCTAACCTACAATTCCCTAGACATTGCGAGCAATTTAGTGTGGCCAATCTGCCTAGCCTGCACATCTTTGGACTGTGGATAGAAACCAGAGCACCCGGAGGAAGCTCATGTAGACACAAGGAGAATGTGCAAACTCCACACTGCCAAGGAAGGAATCAAACCCTGTCCCTGGCACAGTGAGACAGTAGTGCTAACCACTGAGCTACCCTTTTCATGAACATGTAAGCCTTTTCTTAGCTTTGTCAGTGATTGTTCAGTTGGTAGACTTCTCACCAATGGGGCAGAATTTCATTCTTATTCCAAGGACCTCATCATCTAGGCTGAGATTCTTGTGAATTCTAGTAGTATTATTATGAAATTTAAGATAATAAATTGGATCAAATGATTCAACTGGATTAATGAGAACCAGTGACATAAATATTTACTTTAAGGAAAAGGAAATAATCACTGAAGAAAATTCCTAAGTTTACTGTAAACTAAAAGTTTCAAAGACTATAGATTAAAGTATCAAAGCAATTTCAAGTTTTAAGTATTTAGTTACGGTTTATTTGTTATTTATTGTATTATGGGATAATTGTATAACATTTAACATTGTCTTATTGTTTCTAACCAAATATTGTGAAATATAGATTTCAGCTAAACAGGACAATGCAAACATAGCTTGGCAAGCATATTCTTACATTAATAAGAAATCATTTTACTAACTAATGTGATGAATATCCTTATTGTCCTGAATTTGGTTCAATTCTAATTATTACCAATACTTCCCTTCAGCACCCTGATGTCAGAAAGTTCTTAACAGAGAGTAATCAGTCAGGCTAACTGGTCTTCCAAATTGGAATGAAAATCCAGGGAATTATTTCAGGAACATCCAGCTGCTTTACTGGAGAAATGCAAGTTCATTTTGACTGGAAGATTTGGGATGTACTTATTAAATATTCTAAGCCAAAATTTTTATCAATTTTTCTAAAGTGAATGACTTGGTTGCAAGTCTTGTGACAATCCCTGACAGTTAATTTAATCTATTTACCTGAGGAGCAACTGAGAGAATCATTCGACCATAAGGCTATTCAGCCCATTGAGCCTACTCCACCATTCGATCATAGCTGAAATGTTTCTCAACCCCATTCTCCTGCCTTCTCCCTGTAACCCTCCATCCCTTTACCAGTAAAGAGCCTATCTATCTCTGTCTTAAATGCACTTGATGACTTGGCCCCCACAGCCTTCTGTGGCAATGAGTTCCACTCTCTCACTGAGGAAATTCTTCCACATCCCAGTTCTAACGGGTCCCTTCACTCTGAGGCTGCGCTAGTGGAATCATCTCCTCTATGCCCACCCTATCCAGGCCTCTCAGTATTCTGTAAGCTTCAATGAGATCACCCTCGTCCTTCTAAACTGCATCGATGGAAGATTTATACCCTGTCTAATTCCCCATTACCTTCAATCGAGATGGGTTATCTTAAAAATTATCCTCACTAAAATTCACTGTGTTATACTGATTTGGCATAGGCCAGTTGTAACAATTGGCCATCGTCATAAGTTTCTTACTGGTAACACACAGAAAGTCCACTCCATTTCTTGGCAATTCAGCAGACAGGATATTATTAGTGCTGCAATGTTTTGTGGAAGTTAAGCTCCTGTGCAGATTTTCCCACAAATAAAATGCTTCTTAGAAGTAGAACCATATCAATGCACCATAAAGCACAACACATTATACTTCAAACAAATGTGTTAGCTATGTAACAGTCCGACGTTTGCACAGCTTCTCTGGGAAACTTGTGGAAAGAGAGAAGGGTGAATGTTGTTGCCTCTACTGCCTTGGTTGTTATCTGGCAGACTTTACATGTAACCCATTGTAGATCCCATGTATTATTCCACTGAAGTTCCAAAGCTGCTTCCTCCTTCCGCATAAAGGGAGGTTGGTTGAGGAAAAAAAAAGCCAAGGATACTGGAAATCCAAAACAAAAACAGAAATTTCTGGAGAAACTCAGCAGGTCTGGCAGCATCTGTGAAGAGAAAGCAGAGTCAACGTTTTGAGTCCAGAACTGAAGAAGCTCTGAAGAAAGGTCACTGGACAGGATCTGCTGGGTTTCTCCAGCAATTTCTGTTTTTGTTGCGGCTGGTTGAGGGCTCACCATCTGCGACCAATCTCTGTCTCTCACTATAAACTGTCATCTTCTTCATAAGAATACGAAACAAGCTGAGTGTCTGGCTGTTTTGATGGCCATGACATATGCTCAGAACCAGCAATCTCTGATTTTGTTTCTGATTTCCAGCATCTGCCCTCCTTTGTTTTTTTTTCTAAAAGTGATGGGGTGAATACAATCAACAAACCAGTTCTATACCATTTGTTTCTTG